GGTTGGCGTTAAAGGTCCATAGTGCAAACAAGTGTGATAAGACTTAGCGTCAGACTCTCACTTAGAAGTCACAAAAACTCTGTGGCCAAAGTTTAGATCAGGGGTCTCAAACTCAATTTACCTTAGGGCCAGTGCCAGTCCTCAAATCCTCCCAGTGGGCCAATAATGTCACTCATGCTGCCCCCCCAACACTCCGCCCCCTGCCTGCCTAAGGCTCTGGGAGGGAGTTTGGGTGGGGGAGGAGGTGCAGGGTGCAGGCTCTGGGATGGAGTTTGGGTGCAGGCTCTGGGCTGGGGCAGGGGGTGGGGCTGCAGGGCTCTGGGAGGGAGGAGGGGGTAAGGCTGTGGGAGGGAGTTTGGGGGCTGGGTGTGGGTGTGGGGAGGGGGTGCAGGCTCTGGGAAGGAGTTTGGGGGCGGTAGGGAATATGTGGGAGGGGGTGCGGTGCTTACCTGGGGCTCCAGGGCGGGGCGGGACAGGGGGCCTCAGTGCGCTGCTGCTCCCAGGCACTGCCCCTGCAGCTTCCCATTGGCCACAGGGGCGCTCGGGGCGGGGGCAGCATGCGGAGGCACAGTCCCGCCCCTCCCTGTGGCCGCAGGGAGGGGCCAGCAGCCACTGGAGTGAGCAGGCAGATGCCACTCAGCTCCGCTGCGCTGCCGGGGCCCTGGGGTGGCAGGTGGGGCCAAGGGAGAGACCCGGTCCCAAAACTGCTGGAGCCCTGAGGACCACACTGGGGAGGTTCGCGGGCTCTGGTTTAGACCTTTAGTTTGGTGCTGGACTGATAGGTATAAACTTCTCTTTACAAGGTAGTTTCGTTTTCAGTCAACACTTTCTTAACCCTCTCCACCCATACAAATGCAGCTGGAAATGGAAACTCAGCAAGGATGGTAGAAACTCAGCAGCCAAAGTGAAAAGAAATGGGATGTTGGTGATAGGAAAAGAAGAATTTATTTACACTGCAAAACATAAGACACCTTTGACTTCACAGAGTCTTCACTGCACCTGCTGAGTCTCGTGTCTTCAAAAACTTTAATTAAATAAAAAAATTTTGGGGGTAAAGAGTGTCCATCAGTGACCCCATATATTCTCCGCATGCAACGCTTCACACAGAACTGTCTAGAAACAGTGTGAGTGAAGGAACAGTAGGCAAACTGGGATGCACCACCTTATACTTGGGACATAATGATATTCATGGGGACCTAAATGAGTGTGTCAGAGTACTCTAAGCAAAATGCATTGCAGCAGGAGAGCATCTGGAATGAACTCCAGGATTGGATGCAGTAACTGAACTACCAATGTCAAAATTAATGACAAACCAATTCCAGACATAGCAGTATTCGCCTAAAAGGAATGTATGAAAATTCAATTGTATAACAAGAGCACACGAATCAGTGAGACACACAGAACCATGGGACCCACTCTAAGCAATGATCTGACAATACAGTAATCTGGATTAAAATTAAATTGTACTAAATTTATTGTAGGTATTAAAAGTTGGAGAATCTAGAGTAATCCCTTTCAAAAAGCAGCTTTAATTTCTCAGTTTATCTGATGGTGTCTATCAGACATGATGCTCTTCTCCCTTTATCTACACAGCTTGACATATCTGAAGCTGTGGTGATATAAAGAGAAATACCATTTTTAATTTTGGAGAGTTTTGGAACTGTCATTTAAGATGCAAAATTATGTGGATAGGCCAGAATGCCTGGAAAACCATAAAAATGAGAGGTTAAATGTTTATTTGAAATGGATTCCTCTGGGATATCTAGTTCATATGAGTTCTGAATCAAAAAATCTAATAGGTCTCACTCCAGTGGTCAGGTACTTAGAATGACTGTACATACATTTATAATTCATTAAAAAAATGTAGAATTAGGTGTTAGCTCATGCAGCAGATTTGCATGGAAATGATACATGGTCCTACAAGTCCCTCTGTTCTGGTTCTTAAACATGAAGCCAGATTACATTGGATAATCACAGCTGGAGTTAACTCTTCTGAAATTAAAAAAGCTAAATTCTCTAACACAATAGTGGCCTGGATGAAAATACATAATTCATGCACATTCTACCCTCCCTTCAAATGTCTCTCTCCACCACCAACGTTTCACTTGGCACCTATGAACTCTGCATTCTTACATCTACCGTGGTGTAATTCAGAAAGAAAATTACAGAAAGGAAGAAAAAGGAGTAAAACGTATACCTGCTCCCAAGAAATCTGCACTTTGAGCAAAGAGCCGAAACAAGGAAAATTAATAATATTTTGAACTTCTGTAGCATCATTCATCCATTTGTTTTGGGTAAAAACAACAACTAAGAACAAGGAGAAAAGAATTATATCAATAACAATGCTGGGCTTGATTCTCACAGGTGCTGAATGCCTCCAACTCTCGGTGAGGAACACTCAGCACATGCAAGATCAAGCCATTTATAAATATGGTGAGAGATAAAATAAGAATAGAGGATCCATCTGGGAGAAAGGACCCCCTAGAGAGGGAGAAAAATAGTCTGCTCTAATCCTCCTTGATTTGATGTAGCACACTAATCTATTAAGCTATCAGGTAAATGAATTCTGACTAGTGCAGCACCAGCTATTAACCCTTCTAGAGTATCATCAAATCACCTGGATTGAATTCTCAAGTCAATTTTACAATCAGGCTGGATGACTGAACTCGATCTAGGAAAGTTTCTAACAATTACAGCACAGCATATGGCATGGCACATGTGGTTAGACTGTCAATGAAGCATGCTAATGAATATGCTCTGTATAATGCAAGTTATAGAAAACTTAATGATGATGAATAATCACAGAAGTGTAGGACTGGAAGGGACCTCAATAGGTCATCTAGTCCAGACCCCAGCACTCATGGCAGGACTAAGTAACAACTAGCTCATTCCTGATAGATGTTTGTCTAACCCAGTGGTGGCCAACCTGTAGCCAGCGGGCCGCATGCAGCCCAAACAGTACACAGCTGTGACCCAGCTGTGTGCTAAAAATTATCCGGGTCTCAGCTGCCTGGCCCTGCGTGTGGCAGGGTACAGGTCTGGGTCCTGGCTGCCCGCCCCCCACTGGTCTAACCTGTTCTTAAAAATCTCCAATGAAGGGATTCCACCACCTTCCTAGACAATTTGTTCCAGTGCTTAACCATCCTAACAGGAAGCTTTTGCTAATGTCCATACCTACACCTCCCTTGTTGCAATTTAAGCCCATTGCGTCTTGTGCTATCCTCAGAGGTTAAGGAGAACATTTTTTCACCCTCCTCCTTGTGACAACCTTTTACGTATTTTATGTTATGTCCCCTCCTCAGTCTTCTCGTCTCCAAACCAAACAAACCCAGTTTTTTCAATCTTTCCTCATAGGTCATGTTTTGTAGACTTTTAATCATTTTTGTTGCTCTCCTCTGAACTTTCTCCAATTTGTCCATATGGCGCCCAGAACTGGGAGTAAATAGAAAAATTGTTTCTTGTGTCTTGCTTACAACACTCCTGCTAATACATCCCAGAATGTTGTTTGCTTTTTTTGCAGTAGTATTACACTGTTGACTCATGTAGCTTGTGACTGACAATAACCCCCACATTCCTTTCCACAGTACTTCTTCCTGGACAGTCATTTCCCATTCTGTACGTGTGGAATTTGATTCTTCCTTCCTAAGTGAATACTTTGCATTTGTCCTTCTTGAATTTCATCCCATTTACTACAGACCATTTCTCCAGTTTGTTCAGATCATTTTGAATTTTAATCCTATCCTCAAAGCACTTGCAACCGCTCTTAGCTTGGTATCATCTGCAAACTTTATAAGTGTACTCTCTATGCCATTATTTAAATAATTGAAGAAGATATTGAACAGAACTGGACCCAAGGACACATCCCTGAGGAATCCTACTCAATAACCCTTTCCAGCTTGACTGTGAGCTACTGATAACTACTCTCTGGGAACGATTTTCCAGCACCCACATTATAGTAGTTCCATCTAGGTTGTATTTCCCTAGTTTGTTTATGAGAAGATCATGCGAGATAGTATCAAAAGCCTTACTAAAGTCAAGATATACCACATTTAACACTTCCCCCTATCCATAAGGCTTGTTACCCTGTCAAAGATAGCTGTTATGTTGGTTTGACATGATTTCTACTGGACAAATTCATGTTGACTGTTACTTATTACCTTATTATCTTCTACGTGTTTGATTGCTTGACTATTTGCTCCATTATCTTACCAGGTACTAAATGACTAGTCTCCCCAGGGTTGTCCTTTCTCTCTTTTTATAGATTGGCACTATAGTTGCCCCTTTCCAATCCTCTGGAATCTCTCCCATCTTCCATGAGTTTTCAAAGATAATGGCTAATGGCTCAGATATCTCCTCATTCAGCTCCTTGAGTATTATTGATGTATTTCATCAGGCCATGCCAACTTGAAGACATCTAATCTGAGTAAGTAATTTTTAACTTGTTCTTTCCCTACTTTAGCCTCAGATCTTGCCTCATTTTCACAGGAATTCTCTATGTTAGATGTCTGATCGCTACTAATCTTTTTGGTGAAAACGAACAAAAAAAGGCATTTAGGACTTCTGCGATTTCCACATTTCCTCTTACTGTCTTTTCCCCCTCATTGGGTAACAGGCCTACCCTGTTCTTGGTCTTCCTCTTGATTCTAATATATTTGTAGAATGTTTTCATTTTACCCTTTGTGTCTCTAGCTAGTTTAATCTCATTTTGTGCCTTGGCCTTACTAATTTTGTCCCTACATGCTTGACTGAATTTTGTCTGTACATACATAATATCTAACTCTTACATAGCATTTCCATCTGTTGGTGAAAGTATCATTATCCCCATCTTACACATAGGGAAACTGAGGGACAAACCAAAATCATTCTGAGTTTCCCAAAGAAACTGCTGGTCTCCACTGCACCTGACTACTACTACTGGAATTCTGAGCCACTGCGCAATGCAGAATTTGCGCAGAATTAATGTTCCCTGCAGAATTTTATATTTTTATGCAAAATTTGTGATTTCCAGCGAAATGCTTCCTTTTTCCAGTTTTGCGTGTTTCCAATGTATTAGTTATGTATACACATTACGTCTCTATGTGCACATGAGCCTGAACATATCCCCCTCTGCTCCCATCTATCACTGAACGCCCCAGCACGCCTGCCTGCACCTGGCATGGGGGCATGCATACCACCTCTGGAGATGAAGGGGGGTTGGCTGGCAAACCATGTACAAGACCCAAGCCACACAAACACCCCCTCTCCCTCCACACACTCACCCTTACACACACACACTCTTTGCTGGGTCTCTCTTCTCCATGCTAACTGCTCACTATCCTACAACAAAACTCACCAGCCCCCCTCCCATTACGGTGGTGTGACCCAAAAACCTTACAATACACATAGAAGCTTGAACTTGGACAAGACATGACAGACAGACACAAAACAGTCCTTTAGGATGCTAGTGCCCTTTTAGACCAGGTCATTACAATACTTTTTTATAACCTATTTTTGTATAATATTTAATTTCACTGAAACAGAACATAAGTGTCACCAAAATACATCGAGTTCTGTATTAATATGTCTAGTAGAGAATCTATTTGCCAAAAAACATTTCCTGATTTTTTTGTTGTTGTCTGTATTGTTACAGACATACTTGCTGATGGGTATTTTGAAATAAATTACCAAAGGAATTGAAACTGGTGTGATTATATTGTATTTTGACAAAATATGCAGAATTTTTAAATATTGTATGCAGTATTTTTAATTTTTTGGTGCAGAAATCCCCAGGAATACCTGACACAATCTGGGATTTCACCACTTGCCTTCTGTTGCAGATATACTAGTTGAAATTTTCAAGGCAGTTCAAGAGATTCAGCTACACGTCCTCTATCCAAGCAGTGCAAGAACTGTGGCTAAATTCCCTGCACTGTTTCAAACATCTCAACCATTATTTTAATTGTCCATAAACATGCATGTATTCATCATCATGGAACAGTGCATAAAAGTAAGTATGACCCCTGATTCACGGAGCTTACAATGCAAATCACGTTGAGCAAAAGACAAACTACATAGACTGAAGATTGAATCTTCACGGGGAAGGTCGGGATTTGTGCCTTGAGAAAGGATTTAAATGTGGCACGAGAAGCTGCTTGCTGCACAGAGGTACATAGAATCAGAGTTGTAGGGTGAAATCCTGGACCCTACTTCATTGGGACCAGGTTATCACCCACCATCCTTTAGACCAGTCGCTTTCAACCTGTGCTCTGTGGACCCTTGAGTTTCTGCAGACTATGTCTAAGGGGCCTGCAAAAGGTTGTCGTTACCACAGAACAGTGGTTTTTAATCACATCTAAGATTTCCAAAGGGGTCAGCACCTCCATTTGAAATTTTGTAGGGGTCCGCAAATGAAAAAAGGTTGAAAACCACGGCTTTAGACTTCTGATAAGAGCATGTAAATTGATTTATAAAATTACGAACCTGTTACCAAAGACCACACTAGCAAAGTCCATGATGAGCTCTTCTGGTATCCTTAAAGGAAAGGTCAACAATATTAGACAAATATGTAAGAGTTCTGTAACCACAGATTCCCACCCCTCTCTCTCCAAGTTATATAAACCATTATATAATTCAAAACACATAGTTTTATCAACATTTTACATTTTTTCCTTCAGTTAGAACTACCATCAGATTTTAAGCAATCACTTAAGTTCAGTCAAATTGAGAGGAACACAGCCTAGCAGGATTCTACTACCTTTTATAGCAGGGGTCTTAGGAACTCCCTTTCACATTTCCCTCCTCCCTTGGATAGCCTTTATTCTCTAAAGCAAATGATTAGATACATCAAGTGTGAATTTCAAAGGTGCTCAGCCCTGACCTAACTGCTCTCAGTGACGTCAATTGGCATTTTACCAGTGACTTTAATGGGAGCAGAATTAGGCCAATGCTAGGTGCTTTGGAGAATCCCAACCAACACTTTTTGATTTTACTTCCAGCTTAAAGTTCAGGGGAAAGAGAAGGAAAAGATTTGCAAAGAATGGCACCTCAGAACGATGTGGAAATCTCTGGAATAGCTCAGAGCACTTATTAAAAAAGCCACGTTACATGGACTGTGCAATATTATTAATAATTCACATAATGTCTTAACACACACAGCAATCGAAGATCAGAAAAGAAAAGGAAAGGTCCCTGTCCTGAATGGCTTATTGGTTATAGGTGAGATCGGAACAAAGAGGAACAAGGTAAGAATTTACACAGAGTGGGGTGTGACCATTAGATCTTGAATGCTTAATGGTAAAGGTGGATTTTAAATAGCTTCTTGAAGGGGAAGTTTAATTTAAATTAGTGGGTAGGGTATTCCAGGCATATGGAAACACATGGAAGGCGGCACAGAGAGGGAAGTGGGCAAGAGGCAAAGAGGAGTGCTTTTCTGGCTGTGTGCACATCTCCTTCTCCATGAAAGGCAATGGGGTCCTACAATACAAACACTGTCTGAATTATCTGGGCAAGCTTTTTACCTGAAACACCCCAGCAAGGAACAAGGTTCCATGTGGCAAACAACTCTTCCTGACTTCTCCTCTGTAAGGGCTGAACAAAGGGGATGTAATGGTACTTCTCAATGCACTGTGTTTATTGTCCTGGTGTGGATTACTCAAACACATAAGACGTACTAATACCACCTTTGCTACTGCATTATTTTTGCAATTCAAAATATGTTTTCAGGAAACCAACAATGTGCAGACATTGTCCCTGGCTCAAGCAGCTTACATTTTAGTCCAGTCACAGAAGGAAGAGATCAGACAAACAGTGCTGAACTAGAGACGGTGTAAGTATCCAGCAGTGATCATTTTTCAAAGGATTTGTTGAAAAGAATGTTTCAAGGAGGGATCTGTGGGACGAGGAGCAGACTGTGAGGACACCCTTATCCAGTGTTACTGGACCAGGTGCTGACCAGCGCTAAAAAACTACTAAGTATGCAGAGAAAAATATTCCTGGCAGTGGTCACAGACTCACTCCCACTGGCTCAGCGGCTTCTGTTTTGCTAAATGAAAGGTGAATTTGAGAGACTGCTATTCTCTCTGCTGATGAAAGTGCATGCCTGGAGATAACCTCCGTGTTGTGATACTGGATGACAACTAGAGTGACAATCAACAGTGATGTAATCAATCCTAAGTGGGTTTGCTCTCCCTGCCTCCTTTTCCACTAGATCTATTGAGGCAGGGGTAAGGAACTAAAGACCATAAAAGCACCTGAGAGTTACAGGACCTTTGCTTGTCTGATTCCAGCCAAAAAAGTTTTCAGCCTCACTGAAGGGAATGGTAAAGACTATGGGGAAGGCGAAAGCAAGGATATGACTCAAGCCCATAACTTCTGGAGGAGAAATGACAACTTGCTATCTCTCTGCTCTGGCCAAATTCTGGCAGCATCAATAGAAGATGGCTATTGCTCAGCCAGGTACATGTGTATCTCATGCATGTGGTCGTGGTGCCAATGAGAAATCTTGGCCCAATGACCCACGCCAGTTGATGCACATGGAGATATTTCTTTGGTTAATTAATACATCCCTGGGGCAGTGAGTGTGTGCTTTGCCTCCAGCTCAGATATGCTGTGCAACAATATCAATGTCATTTCCCATAAGAATCACTGAAGTTGTGAAATGAGCCAATACACCTAAAACTTTCAAAATCTCTCTGCATGCCCTTGTGACCAGAAAGACACTATTTACTCATTTAAAAATCTAGTCTCAAAGTGAGCAGAAACAATGATTTAAAGAAAAAAAAATCATTCAGAGATGAAAATGTTAGAAGACATCTCCCCTTAAGTTAACTAGCTTATTAGACTCTCCCGAGGGCACCAGAGAAGACTACCAGTGTAAACTTCTAGGTCTGAGAGCAGCATGAATGTACAGGCAAGTTAACTTTTATGGCTACGCCAGCCACATTAACAGCAGCAATGAGGCATGTGTATTGTCACTCTTATGTACTTTCTTCTTCTAGTAATCCAGGCCAATCCTGTAACAAGAGTCACCTAGGCTAATAAAGACTAGTGAAGACCTTCCTGTGGGGAAAAGTGTTGGTAACATGATTAATCTATTAGTAGGAGGGGAAAAAAACCCCATACAAGTGTGAGGCAATGGCACTGTGGTCAAGTGGCAAGAGCAGGGGACTGGATATCAGGAGTCCTGGATTCTATTTCCAACTCTAACACTGACTTGTGCTTTGGAAAGTTTCATTTCTCAACCCCAATTTCCTCTGTACAACAGGGATAATATTTACCTACTCACAGGTGGCATGGAGGTTTTAGAGAGTCCTGTGGCACCTTTAAGACTAACAGATGTATTGGAGCATAAGCTTTGGTGGGTGAATACCCACTTCATCAGACGCATGTTTAGGACTCTCTGTTACTTTTTACAGATCCAGACTAACACGGCTACCTCTCTGATACATGGGGGTTTTATTATTTCTTGAGCACATAAATGCACTTCTTAATGTCCAACACAGAGAAGACAAGGCTCCTGCCTCATTCTAGGCAACCAAGTTCAGACCCAGTACACCAGATGTTCAAGGACTGGAAAGTCAAATATCCAAGTGGTGCACATTTATTTAAAAAAATGGGTTCACGTTGAAAAGGCTTCTTAGAAAAATGCAAAGGAGGCAGGGCAATTCATTGACCTAGATGAAGAGGGAGACTGTCCCAAGCAGTAGGGGTAGCATGGAAGATGACACAAAGATGAAATGGGGACAGAGTACAAAGAGGGATGGGGTTAGGCAGGAGGCTTGGATGGAATGAGGGGATAACTGAGAGGTCGGCAGCCCCTGCTAGCGACTAGGATGTGATTGCCAACAACCTTGAGGAAAGTAGCTTTGGTGGAATGAAAGAGGCAGAAGCCAGAATGCCGAGGAGCTAGGAGAGAGAATGTTTGTAAAATAATTTGAGATCCTGGCACAAAAGACATTACACAGATGCACAAAATATTAAAACAAACAATGCAGGGTATAGGTTGCGTTTTCTCTTATTTCTCCCCATTTCTGTGTTCAGCAACAAACCAGGAAGATCACTACTATGCAGTGAGGACTAGCTTATAGTGCCTGAACGTCTATACAAAGATATTCTCTCTGGATAGACTGAAATGGATTTTGACTAAGTCTTTGTAACAAACATTGTGCTTTGCTGGCTAATTAGCACAAGCGATCACAGCTGAACAATGCAGTAGGATTTCACGAGTGTTATATCATTGTCCTTTCAAAGCAAAAAGTAGGACAGTTCCTCAACTTCTGAAATGTTGTCATTGTCTTAGCAAACATACTAACAAAAACAAAATATTGCATGGCGGGTGTGTGTGCGCAGGTCACATTTGTATAACCTACATTAAGGACTAAATTGTGCCATCTCCCCAATGTGTGAAATTTACTGCATGAGTTCAATGCCAAATCATATCTTATACAACGCCTGAATATTTCTCCTGGCTTCACATGACCTCATTATCAAAGTATTACAAGTAAATTACATCTGAACAGGACCATGTTACATTACACTCATCTCACACTCAGTTGATATCATGGTAATAAGCAAAGTGATAATCAAGCTTTTTGGGGGGAGGTGGGCAACGGATAGAAGGGGTGAGGCAAGGATGAAGTGGCAGGCTCAGCTCTTTGTTATCTTGCATCTGAAGGATGAAGTCAATCCCTTACAGAGTTCTCTCAGCAGGTCCATGGGTGTGATGCTATATTGATCACTCTGACATTTTAAAACAAACCTAACTTTGAAGAGCTTTTTTTTTTTAAAAGGTAGTGTTTGGTGAAAGCTTCTGGTCTGACAGCCTGGAGCCTCAAATCCTCTATCTACAGATCAGGTACAGCCCAGACAGCAATAACACAATTTCCTTTATTTATGCCACACTCTTTCTGTGGATACGTCTACACTTACCGGAGGGTCCGGCAGCAGGCAATCGATGTTCTGGGATCGATTTATCGCGTCTGGTTTAGACGCGATAAATCGATCCCGGATCGATCCCGGAAGTGCTCGCCGTCGACGCCGGTACTCCAACTCGGCGAGAGGAGTACGCGGCATCGACGGGGGAGCCTCCCTGCCGAGTCTGGACCCGCGGTAAGTTCGGACTAAGGTACTTCGAATTCAGCTACGTTATTAACGTAGCTGAATTTGCGTACCTTAGTCCGAAGTGGGGGGGTTAGTGGGGACCAGGCCTGTGTCTCAGCCATGATCTGGAGAAAAGTTGGCTAGGATTGTGGCTGGTTTTACCTTCATGTTCAATCCTTGGAGTCTCAAGCGTGGACTGCCAATCATGGTGGTGCTTTTGTGATGGAGTTACTTGTTCACGGGGAACTGGACTGAGAACACCAGCTCGTTTCACAAAGGCTGTCACTAGACAGTATCCACTTTTGGATTATACTGACCTGGGCTGGTTTTCAACTGGTGACCTAGAGGAGACTGGCTTGAGGAACTGGCAATGAGACATAGAGCTGCTCTCTCCCACAAAGAGCAATAACATTTAAAAAGTTGATTACAGCGGCCTGTTCCCCTACAGGGTAGCAGCTATACAAAAACAGTTATAGTGAGCAATTTAGATGAAATAAATGGGCATACCTAAGCTCCTGAAGATCTTCCTTAAAAACCTACAAAGACAAGGAATGTGCAATTTACATACTGTAGACTTGAAAACTGGTTCCGCATTAAAAAGATATACATTTACAAGAACTAAAATAGTGGTTACTTGCTTGTTAGCGCGCCCCCCTCCCCCAATTTTATTCCATGCTAATAGTCCTGAGATGGTAAAATGGATGCTGGATAGGATTTCCAGACATGCCTAAGTGACTTAGGAGCAGGTCAACGCTCAATGGGACGTATGCTCCTAAATCACGTAGGTCTATACATACTGCCCACCATTGGCAGCAGCATGTAGGGCATAGGTAGCTACCTGCTGCAGTGGAAGGCAAGCTGTGTCTACAGTGTGATGTGTAGCTACATGAATCAGTGAAAGGCTCTGGCAGCAGGACTCCTAAAAACAGCAATGTAGACGGGAGAGGCACTGCTTGGGCATGTAGAGAGCTGTGTAGTGTACTTACCCACAGGGTTCAGGCTTGTCTTTACTTGCCTAAGCAGTGCCTCACCACTGTTTATACACTAGATAGGGGATGTGCAGTGCATGTACTCTACACACTGCTGCAAGGAGTGTGTTGTGTAGACGTTCTCTTAGACACATTTGAAAACTCCACCCATTAGTTTTAAGAAAAACCTCTGTCATTCCATCTTTATTAAATCTACATGTTCTTCCTTTGGAATCATGTTGTGGTCTCTGAAAACACTTTAGGGGTGCTTGTTTAAACTATTAGAACAAAACAGAAGTTGCAAAAGATAAATTCTGACCACTAAAGAAACTTCATCACTGTAACAGCATGATGGGAGATCCCTCCCAACACCACCCTATGACAGAGGAAAAAGAACATCTTGACACAGAAGATGCCAGGAAGCTAAAAGCAGACATTTAAAATAGAAAATAAGATTAGACAAAAAGGACAAACGTAAGTTAAAATAAAGCAAAAGGTAAGGGAAACAAAATCACAAAATCATACAGAACAATGGGGGGAATTGAGGCAGAGAGATTAAGTGACTTGTCCAAATTCACATAGAACGTGTAGCAGAACCAGGTACAGAACTCAGGTCTTCTGACACTCAGTGCCGTATCCTAACCATGCACTTATCTTTCCTCCGAGATACACATACAAGGCAAGGAAAAACAGGTGTGCAGCACAATTTCACACGTTTTTTCTAAACACACACACACACACATATATATAGATAGTGTGGGAAAAAAGTTGATGGCAAAAGAAATTACAAATTATCAAAAAAAGAGAGACGGCTACAAAATGAAGACAAATAAAACAGACAAGCACAACCAGAATGCAAGCTGCTGAAGTAGAAAATGGATGCAAGTAAATCTTTTCCATAAACTAAGTTTTTCCATAAACGTCTGCAGAAGTATCTTGTAAATCTATACTTCAGGTCTTTTTAAAAACAGAACAAGATTAGTAGCAACAAATGCATTCCCAGCAGAGATCCTTCTACCAGTTTCTCATGACCTTTTTGAGCTGAGTGACACACCCCCGCATGGAGAAGTTTATGCTGTAATTTGCAAGTGACACAACCTTAATTTATCAAGGCACCATGCACTCCTAGTACTTACTTCTTGTTTGAAAGTCAATAAGGGAAGCCGCAGGGCCTCTCTGAGAAGAGTATACATGCCAGAGATGAGGGAAGTGAGCTGCTCTTCTGACAGATCAACGCTTTCTGCAATCGCCCTCACAGATTCTTTGCAATCTTTTCCTTCCAATGCACTAACAACGACTGCAAAGAAACCAACAGGATACTCCTTTAAAATGGGGAAAGTGCGATGTGTGCGTGCACATCCAAGCAAAATTATGGAAATATTTGTGTGTATGAGGAGGCTGGTGTTTTCCCCCGGGTATTAATATATCACTCCATGTCTTTGTAAACACAACTGATTGTTTACCAGGTCTGTTGTGCAACAACATATTGCACACAAAGCTCGAGTTGATGGAATAAGAGTTACGGTTTAAAGTGGAACTGTCAGCAGCAGTGGGCGAGTTTGATTCGCTCAGGGAACTGGAAATGGGATACAAACGCTTTCATCATTATGTACTCCTGGGGGAATTCTGCACCGCTGCGCATGCACAGAATTTATGTTCCCCGCAGAAAAATGACTTTCTGACAGGGAAACAAAGGGAAGCCACAAGAGCGGTCATGTGACCCTCCCCAGCAGTATGCTTTGGGTGCCCAGGGCAGCCGGCAGAGAGGTAAATCACTGTGGAACAGAGGGCAGGACTGGGGAAGACCCAGCTGGTGGCACCTACCCTGCGCTGGGTTCAGTGCTAGTCCCGGGTGGGCTGGATAGGATGGGACTCCTCTTCCCCTGCACGGCATCCAGGGCCAGGTCAGACCCACCCCCAGATTTCTACCCGGGCTGCAGGAAGTGCTGCAAACTGTCCCCACTCCCTGCACCCATCACTCCTCAGCTACAGGGGGACGGATCACTGTATGGGGAGCTGTTCCTCCATCCACCCAATCCCCATGCATCCAGACTCCCTCATACCCAGACCCCCTCGCTGAGCCTCACACCCCATATCCAGAACCCCTCTGCCAAGCCCCACTCCCCCTGCACTCGGACCAGCCTGATGAGCCACCTGCACCCCGATCCCCACTCCACTGGCCCCAACCAGCTACATCTGGATCCCCACCAACTGAGCCCCACTCTCCCAGCATCTGGACCTCCACTGACCCCCCCCTACAGAGCTCTATCCCCCCACATCCACCCCCCCTCCACCGCTGAGCCTCAACCACCTTCACCTGGACCCCCCTGCAGAGACCAATTACCATTGCAACCCCCCCAACAAGCCCCTGTGCATCCATATCCCCCCCCGCACCCCGATCCCCCACTGAGCCACCCACACCCAGATTGCCCCACACAGAACTCTCTCAACCCACACCTGGATCCCCCAATGCTAAGCCCCTCCACACTTGGATCCTGTCTTGCTGAGCCTGTCTGCCCACACCTGGTGCACCTGGCACAGAGGGGCAGGGCCCTGGGGTGTTTCTGGGGCAGGCTGGGTCCTTGCACTGTGTCAGGGTTGGGTGCAGCCTCATTGCTGAGTCCATATCCTGGAGGGAGTCGGGGGGAGCTGCAGAGAGATCTCTCACCTCTGTGCAGGCAGTGCTCCCCAATGCCAGGCTGGAGCCTCCACATTTATTTGACAAATAACATTTGCAGAATTTTAAAATATTGTACGCAGAATTTTTTTGGCACAGAATGTCCTCAGGAGTAATTAGGTCACCAGTTTAAATTTGATGTGGGCGTGTAGTGACAAAGTCTTTCACGTCACAAGTCTGGTTTGGTGGTTCACCTACTTTAGGATGGCCTGTAGCTCTGACACTTGTTTAGTAGGAGCAGGACTAGGAGAACTAACTTGCTTCTCATCAGCTTTAGATACCACAGAGAGTTGGAAATGACACCCTGGTTGCAAGCTCAGCAGACAGGTTAAATATTGAATGGGCATGGAGGTAAAGTGAAACTAACTCTTTTTAGCTGACCTCTCTGGGTCAACATCAATGCACATTTCTGGAGCAGTTTGCACTGGTGCTAATGGTGCAGTACCAGCACCAAAGGTCAGCCAGGCTTCAACATCATAAAGAGACACCTTTGGTTGGACTCCCTAAGACCGTCAATATATAATTATTTTTCCACATTCCACATACACAAAGGCTTATAAAAATGAATTTGGCTTATATAAAAATTTTGCTTCTACAATCACATCTGTGTGGGCAGACCTCACAAACACATGAAGCCCCACTGAGAAAGATAAATGTCTGCCTACATGGATGGGTTTGCAGGATCAGGCCTTTAAATTGGACATTTATTCTGCTCCAGATTTACCTCCTGAAATAAAATATGAAAAGTTAAAAATGGCCAGGCTGGGACAACAGCTTAACATTAAGGTTAAAAAATAAAACAAGTTTTAACTGAATTGCCAAACTTCCTTGTGGTATTAAATGGATTTCACTCACTACCAGCTTCTATTTTTGGACAATTTTACTTCCTTTTGTACATTTTAAAATGTCTTTAAATGCAGTGAAAGATTCTAAATAATCAGAGCAGTAGACTGAAATCTTCAGTATTTATCCACAGAACAGATGTAATATGGGCAGTGCCAGTACAAGATTTCCCACAATGTTGGAAAATGACTCAACACTAAAGCTGAGGAATCGTCTTTAAAGGAGAAGGGGAAGATTCCTTCTTCACTGAAACTGCCTAAAAGAATGTCAATTAGTACCAGTGGTGAGGATGTTTTTTCTGTTAACGTTTGTCCAGTAAGTGCACGTCCAGACTCGAAAAGCAGGTTGTGTTTTAAAACACATTAGCTGGTTCTGAACAACCCTAGCATGGGTAGAAGAATGGGAGGGGGCAGGTGGTGAGATCAAGCTAACACATTTTCAAACACAATTAACCCAAGCTACGGTAAGTGCAACATCTTGTTTAAAATCACGTCAGTTACAACATATTAACTAGTATGTTTTAAAACAACCTGTTTTCCTCATTTGGACATGACCTAGAAATTGGACTGGTATCAATAATCAAATAGAAATGACTTTGGTTTATATAAAAATTTTGCTTCTACAATCACATCTGTGTGGGCAGACCTCACAAGCAGACACATGCCAACAAATGATCCAAGAAGCGAAAGGTTCCTTCTCTCATTACTGAATCCTATGAGTATTTCTCTTTAAATCCATTTGATCTATTTTACAATGTATATTACACCAGGGGTTCTCAACCTTTTTCTTTCTGAGTCCCCCCTTCCCCAACATGCCATAAAATCTCCCTGGCCCACCTGTGCCACAACAACTGTTTTTCTGCATATAAAAACCAGAGACAGCGTTAGGGGGTAGCAAGCAGGTCAATTGTCCAGGGCCCCACGCCACCGGGGGCCTTGTGAAGCTAAGTTGCTCAGACTTTGGCTTCAGCCCTGGATGGCGGGTGTAGAGGCCCCAGGCTTCAGACTCATGTGGTGGGACTTCGGCTTTCTGCCCTGTGCCCCAGCAAGTGCCAAATCCTGCTTGGCAGACCCCCTGAAACCTGGTTGCGGCCCCCAAGGAGGCCCCAGACCTCTGGTTGAGAACCACTGTATCACACTACCCTAGAATGCCTACTGTTTAATCCACACGTTGTAAAGAACTGCATAGCTTTACTGGATTGATTGGAATGCTGGTAACCACATTATAGTAACATTTCCAGTTGATAGTTTTTTAAGATTGACTATTGGTAGGCAGCATGTCCAGTGGATAGGGCACAGGAGACCTAGGTTCTCATCCAGGCTCTGGAAGTGACACAGATGACTTCTCTGCACCTTAGTTTCTCCATCTGTCGAAATGGGATAACACTAAAAACATTAAAAATCCTTGTGAGCTAGGTAAACTAAATGCTGATTGAGATCAATGAAGAGAGCGTGCTGTATAAGTGCAAACATTGTTTTCAACATGAAACATTTCATCACGCATCCACTGAGTCAGAGCTAACATGCCATTAGTTTATGCTGTCAGACTTACATTCAGCCTGTAATATCTTTGGCAGGATAACCTTGAGACTCTGGTCTGTGAATTTCTACACCTTCAACTCAGGGGTTGTATGACATTGCATATCATTTGACATTAGCTATAATATATAGTATGATATATAAACAAATTCACCATGCCTTCCAAGGCTGCCAATCCTTCAATGGAATAATAGTTTGTAGTACATGTGCGCTCACCATACATCAGCATGTCAGCAAGAGGAAAAGATAGGTAGAGGGAGACCTGTGCTAGCTCGGCTTATTCTGGAAAAGTCTGTTTCCTTTGGTTGTAAGTGAAAAGTAACTAACAGTTTGGGAGCCCATGGAAGATTGTTTACATGTTCTAGTTAAAATAGCATTTTTGAGAGACTGTTTGCTCCCTCTACAGAAGGAAGTGGGAAATGCACAATGAACTCATCATGAAATCTTTACCACCGACATTAAACCACTATGGGATTTAGGGAGAAGAGGGACATGTTTCTGTGTTACCTAGTCTCCAGTCCTCCCTTGTTAATAGTGGGCTGGACAAACATGGATCTACTTCCAATTTTACCTGACTATCCAGTGAATCTGGCAATTTGTAATTCCATCGCTTACAATTATTACATAGCTGCCGATATAGCTTCAGTCATGAGGCGTTGCTCCATTCTCACCCCAAAACACTAGCACTATGAAGATTCCTAATCCCAACTAGAGCCAGACCATTACAGCCCTGCGCAGATATAAAATTTGTATCCGCATCCAATCCACAATCCGAAAAATAATCTGTGGATGCAGATATCTGGCGGATTTGCAGAGCTCTACAGACCATCTTAATCTAATAACGGTCTACTTGTCCACTTCTTGGAGTGCTTAGCTTTCTGTTATTCAGATCCTACACTCTCAGTGACTGGTTTGATCAGGTGACCAAGCATGTGGCTTCTGGTGCCAAAGAAAATTCGGTGCCCAAAACTGAAGTGATGTCCGTTGATTAAAGGGTATGAGCAGGACCTTCCTATCCATATGGGGAGTGGGAGGGTGGTACCCAGTGGGGAGGAGAGGTGCAGGACCCCAAGGGGAGCAGGACCCCTCCGCCCGTTGCAGGGGGGGTGCAGGACCCCCCGGGGAGGAGCTGGGAGCCCCTGCCCGCTGCAGGGGGGGGTGCAGGACCCCCCGGGGAGGAGCT